GGAGGCAAGGAGCAAGGGAAAGGTTGTAAGGAGCACTCGCAGATCCATTGGGGGAACCAAGAGACGGCCCATCAGTGTTAGAATAGGGGTGTTGGGGAAAGAAAGACAGAACAAAAGAAAGAACAGACGATGACGTTGTGCTGCGACGCGCGGAGGGTTGACACAGAGAGAGAGAGAGAGAGAGAGAGAGAGGACAGGGACGGACAGGGGACAGGCAAGAGGAGGGCGGAAGGAGTGAGGAAGGGGGGAAAGATGGTGGGAGGGAAGAATGGAGGAGGGAGGGAGGTAGGGAAGGAGCAAGGATAGGAAGACCTACAGGAAAGAAGGCAAGAGGGAAGGATGCATGGACGGAGAGACGGAGAGAGAGAGAGAGAGAGAGAGAGAGAGAGAGAGAGAGAGAGAGAGAGAGAGAGAGAGCACAGAGTGTGGTGAACCCTACCTTTTGGTAATGCGCGAAGCATCGAAAGTCGACGGACCAGACAGTACACAGCATCGTGAGAATATGCAGCATTCCGATGCCCGCAAGCACAATGAGTCCATCTGCTGTTTCCAAAGATGGAAATACCAATCCGATCCATAATAGGTAAAGACACACAAACGGCCATACGTCCAGCCGTCGCGCAGTCGAGATCTTTCGAAAGAGCTCCACGTGGCGCACAGTTTTCGCGCTCACATCCACAATAGCCATGGCTTCCCCCCAGCGAGACGCAGTAGGTGCAAAAGAGCAATCTCTTCCACTCCGAGCTAGAGAGAGACAAGCCGTAGGGAAGGAGAAGGAAGAAGGGAGAGGTAAGAGAGAGGGCGTGGGAAGGGAGAGGTAAGAGAGAGGAGTTGGGAAGGGAGAGAGGTAAGCGAGAGGAGGTGAGAGAACCGACCCCTCTCGCGAAGTAAGCGATCAGGCCAGACGACCCGAAGGCGACGGCGAGGCGGCCATCTGGGGGCTCATCACGCAGGCAGGCAGGGAGGAACGTTGGGATACTACGGGTAGGGAGACAGATAAGATAGGAGAGAGAGAGGGAGAGGGAGAGGGAGAAGGAGAGGGAGGAGGATTGCAAGGAGGGGGACAGAAGACGCAATGAGACTGGGAAAGGTGAGCGGGAGAAAGAAACGAGAGCGCGCACAAACGAAAAAAAATCGATATAAAACGGACCGGGGCCTAGGCATTCGACGCCTTGGGCCTGTCTCTCGTTTGTACTACGACCGCCGCCACGTGGATGCTTTCAGTCATCACCTCACTACCCCGTCCGACAGCCACGTGTCAACTAGTAATAGACAAAGATCAGGGACAACCCACGTGGCACTAGATCGTTAACCTTCCCACCCATTGTCGCACCCAAAGCCACGTGGCAACTCTTCCTTCCTTCTTCCAGCACAAACTCCACCCCTGGACCAGATTCTCTGTCTATGCACCCATTGCCCGTGCACGCATGGCCTGTGCACAGACCACCTGCAGCGTCAGCAAAGCGTCCCTACTGAGCACCCAGCTAAGGGCCTCGGCCCACCGCTCTGAGAATTGTGCGAAATGAGAATGAACTTCCCGCTAGAACATCGCCAGATGCGCCCGCCACAATCGTCTTTTTCACATTTCGGGAGTGTGTGGCGAGGCCCTGAGCGGTTAGCGATGTACCGGATCCCAAAATGCGTTATAATTCACACCCAAGACTTGTCCACCACACCATCTACCTGACCTGACGGAGCAGGTCCCCACGCAATAGGCGGACAATGGTCCTCGATCCGTGGACCCGCTTGAAGTAAGTTCAAGCGTGCTGAGATAGGGCATAGGGCCTCGCTCCATTACCGACCAAATGAGCAAAATGAGAACGAATCTTCTGCTATAACATCGAAAGATACAACGCCATATTTTCTGTCTTTTGTGCATGTGGGGCGAGGCCCGTGTGCTGCGGCGTATCGCAGGAATTTCCCCTGAGGTGAACCGTTAGCCACCGTTACGTCAGACAACGGGATGCGTGGGCCTCTAACGAGCTACGGAACGATGTGGGGTCCGCTCAACCCGTGTGCGTCTTCGTGGTAACCACGGACAGCAGGCCTGGACCCTTCGCGGAGGGGCGAGCCAACCCTTTTCGCGGTCCGCGTTAATGGGCCCCCGGTAGCACTGATTTACTTACCGTGAGGGCATGGGTGCGCAGCCCGTAGTTCGTTTGTTTATGCGGTTGGGGAAGGGTAAGGTAGTGATTATGCTGTATGTATGTTTTGTCATGTTTGCTATACACAACTCGAAGAGAGTGTGTGTGTGGGGTCCCGGTTGGTGCTTTATTCACGATGTTTATGGGATGCTGGACCCAGTTTCCAGCAGGTGGCACTCCCCATCAATAGACAGGAGAATGTATCTGCGTATGTATGTGTGTGTGTGTGTGTGTGTGTGTGTGTGTGAGAGAGAGAGAGAGAGAGAGAGAGTGTGTGTGTGTGTGTGCGTGTGAGAGAGAGAGAGAGAGTGCGCGTGCGTGTGTGCGTGTACGTGCGTGTTCATGCGTGTATGTGTGTGTGT